TTAAATAGTAATCCAATTTAATCAACATGGTTTAATTTAGTTCAGGATTCTGGATTGGGTTGTGCAACTTTGCTTTACATTTTTCCTACCATAAACTACAAGAAAGGGACATCTGGGACATTATATTTGGGACATTACATAAGATGACAAAGAAGGTAACAGTAAGAAAACTAGAAAAACGTTGTTCCTTCTCTACTAATTCAGAAGATTGCATTCCATCAATAAAAAGATCCCTCTTCAGCATCCCTTCTTTATAAGCCAAGCCACAAAACTTGTACAAAATTTCAAATGTGCGTGCTTGGATAAATTTGGAAGAGGGGATTTTCCTTTCATTTATTTTCCTTCTTTCCTGAAACGAAAGAAGCATAGGCGAAAACTAATTTATCAGTTATCTGCCTACCTCTATGAGGAAAAGCTGAGTTGGAGGGACACCTTTTTCTCGCTTGTCAAACAAAGCTGAAATGTCAACAAGATGCAGGAGATGCTGGCCATCATTAAATCTGCAAAGGAAACCTGGTACCCTGTGTGTTAATTACAGTAATTCAAGATGTTTCAGGAATATAGTCACTTCTTTTTCTTTCGGCTGTGAAATTGATTCAAGTTTCTGTTACAATTCCTTCAACTGTGTTGCAGTCTTCTAGAAAAAAAAAAGGCTAATGCTGTTGCCTGCGTTTCCTAGCATATGTTTATGATTGCAAAATATGAAGCCTGCCTGATTCTCTTTCCTCTCTTGCATTAGTTGTCCCTATAATAATAGAAATATGCTGTAAAGCTGTAGAACATGACCGTCGTAACATTTCCCATCCCTGCTGTCAAGACTAATATAAGACATTTCAGCCAACCATTAGCTCTTCATTCATGGGACTCTCTGGGTTGACACTTGAAGTTTGAGTAAATAATGAAGTTCAGATGTTATGGTGTCTCAAAGAAAGAGAGAATCGTCTGATGGCACCAGTGTGATCAGAGTGTACAATATATCTGATGTAGGAGCTGGAGATAGGAGACTCAAGAGAAAACTTAGTTCCTTTCTGGAAGGAAATAAGCCTGGGTATCTATCAGTCTCCATACATTAGGGACTATCTCAAGAAAATTCATGATACTCTGTAAAAGCCACATAGTGCTTTCAATATGTATTATATACAAAAGTGTACTTTTGTACAATATCAAATAACAAAACTGACTTATAGAATAAGAAAGTTGGAAGAGACCTTTGGAGGTCTTCAAGTCCAACTGCCTATCAAGCAGGAAACCCTATACCATTTCAGACAATTGGTGTCCCAATCACTTCTTAAATTTCTTCTTGGTAAACCTCTTTCTTGTCATATTCCGGATTCCAGTGTGTAATTCATTTGTTCATAACAAATGCATTCATGCATATACAATGTGCGCATATAAATCATTTGTGACTCGGGCTTATGATTTAATCCAAAAGCAATCATTGCTATACATTATCGTTTTATATAGTAATAACCCTTCCCCATATATCCTGAATGTCAGGCAATGTACTTGCATAATTATTGGATTTTTTTTTAAATAGGCATCATTTTCTGAGTAGTCTATTAGGTAACTGTGAAGCATGAAAGCAGGAGATTTCTTCTTTATATAGTATGTACACAAAGGGCCTTGATCCATATTACCTTTGAATGCCTTTGACTGAAGTCCTTAGGGCTGACTCTAAATGACTTTTTAACAGGGTAGAATTCTCATGTGATGAGCTTTATCATCTAATTATGCCTGTTTGTACAAAATAGTCCCCAAATGGGGGGAAAAATCAAAAGTTAACAGCTGAAAATCTAGCTTCCAGCTATTTTCTCTAGCACATTATTTAATTTTTCTTATTGGAAACAATTTCAGATAGGGATGCATGAACCACTTGAAATCCAGCTGATTATTATTTACCTTCTGAAAAATCTTAATTTGTTAATGTTCAAAACTTTCACTAATATTGAGTGTTTTGTGCACATTGGCTCTAATATATGGAGCTCTGCATACAATTTTCTGAATTCAAATAACGTAGATAATGTCTTCTGAAATGCATATATACATTTCTTAACAAGAACATTTGAATGTAGAGAGATGAATACTTTATTCATTACTGCCTCATAGATCACATATTTCTTTTATATCCTTAACTCTATTCAGACACCTCATAAAGATGTCCTGAATGAAGAGTAAATATGTTGTTGCCATGGCTTTTAGGTTTTTTTGAGTAATTTTATGTCTGCATGGACAATACTTGGTAAAGATTTTTTTTCCCATTAAAACAAAATAATGGAAAAAAATGTCTTAGGACACTCTTGTATGGAAAGGCCATGGTTAGGTATGAAAAAGAACTACAATAAAATAAAATGTGAATCTGAGATGATCTGTCAACAGTTTCCATTGGGAAACAGATTAAAAGACACACAGTACTGTAGTGACCTGTTTGACAACTTCATTTCCATGATTTACTCCTTACATAGATCTTCAACTTTCTTCTAAAAAGCTGAAGACAGTTTACATGGAACCAGTCCTTATTTAATCTTCTGATCAACTTTGTGGGGTGGTTTGAACTGAAAGCTAGTGACTGGCCTAAAGTCTTTCAATGAGACCCATAGAAAAGTCCAGGAACCTGAAGAGGCCACTGAAAACTAAGCCTAACAATATAATGGCTGTATCATTATACATCACATTATACTGAAATTTATACCAAACTGGTAAATTATTCTAGGCTAGTTTTAATGCAACTCTTGTCCTTTTTCTCAATAATGCTTAGATGGTCACTTTAATGCATACTGATATATAAGAAAAGAAGGAAGTGTGGGAAATAAAATTTCACTAACTTCCCATGTACAAAGTATTGCAGTTAGGGTAAAAGTTAAATAGATTGGTGTCTTATGATGACCTGAATATCTCTATTATAATGGTTTATGGGGAAATTGTAGATCAATATTCTGATCATGATATGAACTGTACTGTGCCAGATGCAAATGAAAAGAGTTGTTATTTCTACACATAATCCAGGGCTGTAGGAAAAGTCAAGATTTCTGCTTAAAAAATTATTAGAAGGTTGATGAGAAACAAGAGGCTAATTTATAGAGAAGAATAGCTTGCCATGAGATGTATTTATCAAAAGAAGAATTTAGACTTATCAGCAAGACAAGTAAATGCAAGATGAAATCTGTGGAACACACTGTCTAGAGAGAAGAGAGTAGTTTGAAAGAAGAAATTGGATTAACCCTACATTGTTTATAGTGAAATTGTTTGAGAACTCACAGCACTATAAGACAGAGTTCCATAGTGATGGGATGGGCTTCCTCTGCTGTCTATTTCATAATGCAAAATTAAGGAAAAAGAGAGAATTGCAGAAACATCCACCAACTCTTTCTTTCTTTTCCAGCACAAATCGAAGTGATACCATGCAAAATTTGTGGCGACAAGTCCTCTGGAATACACTATGGGGTTATCACCTGTGAAGGCTGCAAGGTACATAATGTTTATATGTCTGTGTTGTCACTGCATTCTGTGGCAGCTCCCGTCCTATTTGGATTAAACGAGAGTCATTTCAACAAGGGTTTTCAAAATGGTACAAAAATGTCAGCCAATCTCCATGATCTCAAAACTACACATGTGATTTTTCTGAAATATTTGAGGACATGTACAAGTAGCACAAAAAGAACACGTTCTCTGTAAATATAAAACAGCCTCTTAATAAATATAAATGCACACATCTCTTTAAATCAAGTCTTGCTTCTAGCTCCTATTTCAAATGAGTGCGAAAAAATTATGACATTTGAATGAAAAAGATTTGAGTTCCCCTCTGTTTGGCTTAGTCAGGGGAAATAAAAACTGCCAGCACAGCAGGATGTTTCAGTTTGCCATACTTGCCACAGATTGCAGGAGGGAGGGGGAGAGAGCAAATGTGTTGAATATAAAATGGAAAAGAAACATCTATTTAAGAAGACATTGCATATTCTGTACATATTCTAAAATATCACTCTATTGAACAGGATTTACTCCTGATAAGCATATATAAGATTAAAATTTTTTAGCAATATTATTCAACTCTGACTAATAAGAATTAAGATTTGAACTGTACTTCACAAAGCTGAAAAAAAACTCCTTCATAATCAGATCATGCTACTTCTTCCTTTCTTCTTTAAGGATATCAAGTTTTCTAGAAACTCTAAAGGTATGGTTAATAAAAAGGAACAGCTTCATCATTTTTATAGATTGTACAGCTGAGCACTGCCAGTCAAGAGGTTTTGAAGATAACTCTTTATTTAAATCTGTTACTTTACGTTAATGTTTCTCAAACTTTCTCTGTGGATTTCAACTCCATGCTGGCTGGGGAATCGTGGAAGTTGAAGTCCACACATCTTAAAAGTCCAGTGGTTGAGAAACCCTTTTCTGTATGACATCATTAATTTCTCACTTTTGAATCCTGAATCCTTCCAAAATCTTTGGAGTTTCTAGAGCAGGGGTGTCAAACTGCCGGCCCATGGGCTGGATGTGTCATGCACTGCCCCCGCCCATACCTGGTTTAACAAAGTGGGAAAAAGTCCCAATATGTCACATGATGCCACCATGATGCCACAAGTTTGACACCCCTGTTCTAGAGAAAGGGGTGTGTTTAAAATTATCCTAATTTAACCTTTGCAACAAGTGTGAGAGAAACTTTTAAAATGAGAATGCAGGTGGACTAGCCTTATTCAGAGTATTGTAGCTTAGCAGAGACTTGTGTTAAAGCACTAAAGCTAACATTAATTATTATGCCAACTTTTTCCGGACTTGGCAAAATTTCAAAAATTATAACACATCCACACACTACTTTAGTTGCAAGGATGATTCTGAGATGTTGCCTTAAATACAGAGATTTAGCTGTCTTTCTTTTTCTCTTTCACTAGGGATTCTTCAGGAGGAGTCAGCAAAATAATGCCTCATATTCCTGTCCAAGGCAGAGAAACTGTTTAATTGACAGAACCAACAGAAATCGCTGCCAACACTGCCGACTGCAGAAGTGTCTTGCCCTGGGAATGTCTCGAGATGGTAAAGCCCTAGCTTTCTGATTCACGGATCAGTCTTTGGAACCGTTCTTCCTTGCAGTCTGTTTTCCCATTCCCAAAGTAAAGGCATCTTTCTGTTCGGTGACATGGATCCCTGCTGTTCCCTAAACAGAAGGCTTTGTAACTAGAGGGGTTATGATGTCAAACAGAGAGTAAAATTAATCCAACTACAAGATGTCGTAATGGAAATTTGGAACAGAATTGCTGATAAGAATTAAGCTAAATTTCTCAACAACTATAATGGGATTTACCAGGCCTTGGTTTAAGTAGAATAGTGGAATACAGCATTTGCTATTTTATGCATATGGCATTATGCATTTATCAGGTCTTTTCGCATGCTCCCCCCTCATTTGTCTATTAAACTGAGAGAATACTTTAATTTCAAAAAACAAACATTGCTCACAACAGGCCCCAGAGCAGCGTATGATAATGAAAGTTTTTTAACCCCCTAAACAACTATTATTTTAACTATTATTTAGAGTCCACAAAGTCCCTATGTGACTGAGATGGGCAGCTTAAACTTTTCATAGATGGATGGATGGATGGATGGATGGATGGATGACCACCGAATCAAAATTCAAGGCAGCATACATGTTGAGGTATTCCCCGTTAGGAGAATGAGTGCACTCAGGGAAACGTAGTGAGAGTGGTGAGGAATAACGCACAACCAGCATACAGATACACTGAATAGTAAAATGTAGGTTTTACTTCCAGTAAACTGGGAAACAAAGTCCAACAAACAGTCCAGATCATACACAGTTAAAGCAGTTAGTATCAGTCCAGGGATAATCCAAAAACAAAGTCCAGTATCATAAAAAAAAATCAGTAAACTGAGTTTGCTAACAGTTGCAAGACTCACAGCAATCCAAGCAGAACAACGATCAAGCAAAAGGCAATAGGGAAATGCAAAAGAGAGAAACCAGGTTTCTAGCTCCATCTTATGGCCGTTGGAAGAACCTCAGCCAATCACAATTACAGCATTCTCTTAAAGATACAACAGTATTAAATGACTATCCTGGTTTATATATTGCCAACCCAACTGTTAGGTGACTATCATTCCTAACAATACAGAATTAAAAATACTGTAAGGAAGCACAACTAGAAACAAAATACTAGTGCACTGAGTAAATGCACAAAAAAGAAAAATTCAGCCACCAATCATAATCATTACAATTGATAATGGGAGAAAACACCTGTATTGTCTGTGCATGTTTGAGGGACACATGCTGGAAATATTATTGATGAGATGAGCAGCATATAAATTTAATAAATAAATAAAAATATTTGTTTATTTGCTTCTGGTTTTTAATGAAACAAAGGGAAAAGTAACATTACTAACTGGGATACAGAGCATTTAGTAACTGGCAAATTTAAAGAGGAGGAAGCAAGCCTGCATTGGTTGCGCTCTCTTCCCTCGGCTGTTCACCAAGACATGCTGAGCAATAACGGGCTGAAAGTGCTGTCAATCAGAAGCATTTTTCAGAACTCCTCAATCCTTATTGGTATCATAATCAACTTGGACATTATGGAAGGAAGCAAAAGCAACTTTATGTGAGAACTCCTTGAAGAACATTCAAAAATGCAGCTGTTCCACACTGCAGTAGTCCAAGCAGCAATGGACATTCCTCCATATGCCCAGGCAACTCCTCTTTTTTACAAGCTGCACTGGTTGCCAAAAAGATTATGGCCATAATTCAAGCTGTTGTTTATTATTTATAAAGCTCTATAGCACATATGTGTTGACCTTTGAGTCAGTCCATGCAGTTTTCTTAGCAAGATTTTTGCAAATATTTTGCCATTGCCTTCTTCCTAGAACTGAGGGGGACTGGTCTAAGATCACCCATCCATGCCTAAGTCAGAACTAGAACTGTGTCCCACCTAGTGCCTTAACCATAGAACAAACTGGCTTCTTGGTCTAGTACAGCATTGAGCTTAGTTACAGTATTTGAAGGACTGAATCAGCCTGCTGCAGGTCCATCCATTAAGCAATGTCATCTGATGGAATCATGAAAGTGTGCTTTCTCTGTCACAATATCTGTCATTTGGAACAGCATTCTCATAGAGATTTGAATAGTCCCAATCTTGATCTTCTTCAGGCAAGAAGAAGACTCCTCTATTAAAGACTCAGCTTAAAGACTCAGCTATTCCCCCAGGCCTTGGACTAGAGTGAAAGGAGGACTTCTTTGTGAAACTGGGTACAGAAGTCAGATAGTGGGCTGCTGCTTCTTGGTTACCCATTTCTTTTTCATTGATTAATTGTTTCCATAGTTTGATTTTATTGTTGTTCACCAGAGTCAGTCTTACAAATATGGAGGAAAAGGAAAAAGATTGGATTATGTTCCAATATTGCTGAAAGCAAAAAGATGATATGAAAATTGGTGTGGTTAAATGCACTTTGCAAAAACAACTTAGGTGGAATTACCAGCTTGTTTGGGTCTTTCTTTTTTTAAGGAAACAGGGGATTAAACTAGAATGCAATGCATAGGAGAAGAGAGTCTACTACAGTTAATTTTTGAAAATAAATGCAATTTCTTGAATGTTTTCAAAAACACTTTAGGAAGAATGAAGCCTAAGATTGAATAATGTTAATATACAAGAAGCTGCATTTTTGATAAAAATTATGTTATGTTAAAGGTCACCTCCATTATGTTCTTAGGGGTTCCAGTGCAGTAAATATAAAAGTTCTTGAGTGCAGCTGCTAGTGATGTGTCCTTGCTCTGTTCCATTTTTTGCATTTATTCTTCATATTTTATTTATTTTACTTTAATTAAGAAGGCCAAATCTCTTACCCCAGCCCTCATAATGGCAGCAAGTCAAATAGCGACAATGAAATGAAAGATCTCAGAATGTCAGAAATATTCATTTTTCGGTAGTAACATGCTACTTCCTGAGCATTCCCTAGAGAAAGGACATGTACCTATGCACTTTTGGGACAACCGTGACCTGGATAGTTCCCATAGACATACTTACCCAGTGTCATGTCACTTTTGTTACCAAATATTACCTTCAAGCTAGAAAGAAATGTTTATTCTATAGTGTTTATTGTGGATCAGAGGTGATACCTCCAGATATTTTTGAATTGGAGATCAAATGAACCCCAGTCAAGATAGCTAGGGGTTTGGGTTGATAGGAGTTTTAGTCGAGCAATTTCAGTCCAGCAATAGGGCTACATTTTCCCTGGTCAACAGTAGCCTCTCTCTCCCTCACTCCCTTCCCTCTCTGACAGAGAGAGAGAACAAAGGGGGTCGGAATGATGAAAGCAACTTTGTGGCACACAACATGAGCTCTGCCCCTTCGGAATGTGGGTCATGATGTCACTCACATGTCGGAAGGCAGCAAAGCTTGCAATGCTTGACACTGCTTTCATCATTCTAACAAAAACAGCAAGCATTCCTGCATGATGCTGTCCTCAGCTCTGTCCCAGCCTATTGAAAAAAATGGCTAATGAAGATGGCGATATTGCTTTGCATTATGACTGACAGTTTTCTTCCTTTTCTTGTCACAAGAAATGAACCCTTTTATTACTTTAAGGTTATACGTGACAAATCCTTTTCTGGGATGTAATCCGTAAATTGTGCTTCTTTTTGAGGAAGTATGATTCCTGTAGAGTGTTTTCCTTAGTCTGTTATTTCCCTTCATTGTAACCTGTATAACATTCTCCCCCACCTCCCCCAAAAACGTGTGAAGGTAACCGCCCCTGTTGACAGATTGTGATAATAGGGAGTTTTGGGCTTGTTATCTTCCAAAAGTACTAATCCTGTTCGTGCACAGATTAAAGGTTTGGAGAACATTGACAAATCACACAGGATATACATCTGAAGAGAATATTTTTAGAGAGCCCTGGTTTGCTGCACAGGAAACACGGGGAGATGAAAAAGCAATTGTGAGGCTGCTCATTATGCACGGCAGGATGGTAGTTACCTGGCACTCTAGGAAGAATATTCTCTTGATTTCAGTCGAACTCAGGCTAGGGTGAGCAATTGCAGTGAGTGAGCCTGGGAGACTAGGCCCTACAGCTCCCTTATCAGGAAAAGACAACCAGCAAAACAATATACATACAAGGACAACAGGTTGTCAATTTGGGTGACAATATCCTATGGTCTAACTGTCTCTGTCAGACTCTATCTTTGTGTGTTTTTAAAAGAAAATATTTAAAAGATTCTTTGTTTCTTCCAGAAATCTCAAGATCAATTAAAAAGAATGTTTAATTCAAAAAACTCAGTTTTTAAATAATTTGGAAATTATTCAAATACTTTTTAATTATTTCAATCCCTAATCTGCAGAGGAATATATTGCATCATTTTCTTCCGCTATGCTAGGAGTGGAAGACAATCAGTTAAAATTAAAATAATCTTTTTTTGTAACATTAGGATAATTTCTGTTATCCTAAACATTATAAAACAACAAACAAACTGATTTATTTTTTAAAAATCATCATTGTTTTATAGATATAGATAGATAGATAGATAGATAGATAGATAGATAGATAGATAGATAGATA